TTTAATCTAGTATCTATTATTTCATGAACAAACTAAACTGTTTAAGAGAAATATTATTTCCCCCCCCCTTTTTAACTCGACTTATTTAAAAAAATAAGCATATTTCGTTCATGATATATATAATAAAAAACATTCAGTACTTTTATAGAATTACTTTCCACACCTTGTCATTTTTTAAATATAGAGAAGATACATAACGTCCCATGTTAGTCATGCATTCCATCTAATTTCCTATGTTTTGACTGTTTGGGACATCTCGATCGATAATTCCTACTGTTAAAAAATATTAACTTTAAAATAGTCCATCTGGGCAATCATTAAAATCTGAACTTTTTTTTTAATTTTTTTTTTTTACTTACTCTATTCAAACGCGCTTATTCCTACAGATAAACACATTTTTAGCCCAAAGGGCGTTAGCCAAGAAGGGTTGTTAGTTTCGTTTTTATATTTTGCGTTTATTCACTATAAACGGCGAATCACTTTTTATATTGTTCCCACCAAATATTAGAGCCCTGTATTATATTTAAAGAAATTAAATAGTGAAGAATCTGCATAAATGTATGCTTGTTTCTCGCATTGTGATAAAACAACGGTACGTAGTGCCATCCAATTTTGAATAACGCACGTCTCCATCCGAATATAGGCAACTGGAAGCCCAAATTGGGAATCTGGAATTTGCTTTATTATCTGTTTCATATTTTGAGTTTTTTGATTAAGAAACTCAACGATTTCAAAGCGAGCAATTGGCAACAAAAAAAAAAAAAAAAAAAAAAAAAAAAAAAAATCCTGCGCGTGAGATTGTGTTTGGAAATTCTAAAATATGCTCTTTTAAATATTTTGGATATGCTGTTAAATGAATTTTATGATTTAAGTGCGAAGAACAGGATATTTAATAAATAAGAGTAACACACAAAACTTTAAAAACGCCCCTTTGGGCGTAATATAAAATCTAAAAAGCTTTCAGTTATTTTTTTTTTTTTTTTTTTTTTTTTTAGTCCAAAGGGATTTGAATCCCGAAGGACTATTAGTTTCGTTTTGGCATTTTGCGTCGGACTCATAAATGTCGGTTCACTTTTCAAACTGTTGCCATAAAATGTTAGAGTCCTGCATTATATTTGAAGAAATTAAATAATGAAAATATGCGTAAATGTATGTATATTTCTCACATTGTCATAAAATAACGGTACATAGAGTCATCGAATTTTGAATAACGTAATCCTCCCACGAATATGAGCATGTGGAAGACCAAATTTGAAATTTGAAATTTGTTTTATGATCGATTTCCTATTTTTTAAAACTTTGACGAATTTTTGATTAACAAACTCAAGGATTTCAAAGCGAGCAATGGCAACGTTGTGCAGAAAAAACATTTTTATCTCCAGCGCGTGAGTCTCTGTATCGGAAATTCTAAAGATATGCTCGTTTTAAAACTATTTTTCGATATTGCTGTTGCACTGGATCTTATGGTTTAAGTGCGAGGAACATGATATTTAATAAAGAAAGGTAACACACAAAATGTTAAAAAACGCCCCTTTGGACGTAATTTAAAATCTGAAACATTTCAGATTTTTATTATTATTATTATTATTATTATTATTATTATTTTTAAGCCCATAAGGGCTATTAATTTCGTTTTGGCATTTTGTGTCGATTTACTTTCTGCGTTGATTCACGTTTCAAACTGCTGCCACCAACTATTACGGCCCTGTATTACATTTAACGAAATTAAATAATGAAGAATCTACATAAATGTATGTACGTTTCTGGCATTGTGATAAAACGACGGTACCTAGAACCATCCAATTTTGAATGACGTAATCCTCCAGCATCTGGAAGCCCTAATTTGGAATTTTTTATATTATCTATTTTATATTTTGTCAGACATTAAAGAATTTTTGATTAACCAACTCAACGATTTCTAAGCGAGCAATGGCAACACTGTAAAAAAAAAAAAAAAAAAAAAAAAAAAAAAAAAGACATTTTATCTCCAGCGCGCGAGACTGTGTATCGGAAATTCTAAAGATATGCTGATTTTAAAATAATTTTGCTTTGCGATATTGCGATATGGGCATGCGGAAGACCAAATTGGAATTTGTTTTATTATCGATTTCATATTTTGTAAAACTTTAACAAATTTTTGAGTAACAAACTCAACGATTTAAAAGCGAGCAATGGCAACACTCTACGAGGGGAAAAAAAAATCTTTTCATCTCCAGCGGGCCCACCAGCGGCCGAGCAGTAAAGTCGCTGAACACTGGTAGTTCGGTCCGAGGTTCGAATCCCGCGAACGGGCTGGCTGCATGGGCGTTTTCGTGGTTTTCCCCATGTGTAACGTGTATACGAGCCAGTTTCCCTTAGAAAGTCCTCCACGAAGGCATCCCTCATCTTAGGCAGATAGCCCTCGAGGCTTTGCCATAATCTCACACACACACATCTCCAGCGCGCGGAACTGTGTATGTGAAATTCTAAAGGTAGGCTCATTTTAAACTTATTTTGGGACACTGCTATTGAACAGAATTTTATGGTTTAAGTGCAAAGAAAACGATATTTAATAAATAAAGATAACACACAAACGTTAAAAAAAAAAACGCCCCTTTGGAAGTAATTTAAAATCTAAAACCTTCCAATTTTTTTTTTTTTTTTTTTTTTTTTTTAAACCCGATGGCCGGATATAATTAACTTGTTACGTTACTTAAAAGTTGCATCTGCATGGGTAATCCAAAAGGCGACGAAACGCAGGGTTGGGAAGAATCATGGTGGTAGGAACATGGACGAAACCTCCATGAAAAGCAATGAGGGAAGAAAATGAAGGAGGGAGGACGGAAGGTCAAATCAGCAGTTAGTTCCTGACTCTGAAGTGTGAAACAGAATTCCTTTCCTGGCAGCTCTTGATACATTTCGGTGTTTCCCCCCCCCCCCCAAGTATTCCAGCCATAGAGCTGTAATCCTGCACCGTAAAACTACTTGTAAAACAAAAATAGCCGGGAAGAGTAAATCATGGGAAAAGGAGTGAAAGATTTGTTTATATTTGGAGAAAAGTTGGAGAGTGAACAGATCCCACTCCAACATTCAGAATAATCAATTCGGCTTTCGTCAAGGGCATTCAACTAATTCTCAATTTTAGTTAAAAAAAGTGCAGAAGCTTTTGATAATAAATCCTGTTTCGTAGCCTTCCTGGACATCGAAAAGGCGTTTGACAAAATTTGGCTTACCGGTTTGCTCTACAAAATGATCCAAATTAAAAGCGACATACATAAAGCATTTCTGCATAAAAATGAATGTCCCAATATTCCGCTTTTCGTTCCCATCATTGTAATAAATTGTATTTTTATAGGTCCAAAGGTGCAATTTGCCCAGAAGGACTATTAATAATTTCGCTTTGCCATTTTGCGTTGCCTCACTATAAATGTCGGTTCACTTTTCAAATTGTTGTCACCGAATATTAGAGCCCTGTGTTATTATTATTATTATTATTATTATTTTTTTTTTTTTCTTCAAATGGCAGATCGTGAACAATTACAAATGTAACCCAGTCCATTAATCTATACAAGGCCGGATGTGGTATCTTTATTATGGAGGCACCTAATAAGTGGGCCACCATCGCCTTTCCTATGAAGGGACGGACAGTTATTTATTTATTTATTTACCATCAGATGAGCAGCTGCACCGCCTTTAAGACATTCAGCTTTTACGATCAACTGATGGAATCATCTACCAACTGTGTTGTTATGTAAAATACAATAAAATTTTAGAATTTTGATAATTACATAATAAAAATTAAATATCAAGAAATAAATATATAAATAATACAATAAATAATAAACATAAATAGATACAATAAACAAAAGTTAAAAATTTAGAATAAGATAAATACGATGTTGTTATATATGAAGTCAAATAAAGTATCAGAATTTTGAGAATTATATAATAAAAATTGAATAAATTAAATATATAAAAACATAATACCTAAAGAAATATGAAAGTAAATGAAACGTAAATAGATAAGTAAATACTTAAGAAGATCGTTACAAATTTTGAAAATAAGCAACATAATGTATGAGAATAGTAGAGGCTGAGAATGTAAGATATGTAAAGTATTTCATTATGGAGAATGAAGAGCAGTAATTGAATAAAAGTTGATGAGAAATAGTATTTGAATGAATTAGGATGACCTGAATGAAAAGTTCGAGGAAATTCTTGATAGAGAGTCATTCTTGAGTAAAAGACTTGACTAAAAATCTTGAGTTGAGACTTTATTAATATATTAAGGAGATGGAGTTAGAAAATATCCTTAAATTCTTGATCGAGCTTGAGAGATCTTGAAGGTTTAAATAAAGATAGTCTTGAGTGAAAGCATTAAAATGAGGTAGTAGAAAGAATGGCTTATTAAGTAAGGTAAATGAACAAAGAATATTGATTTCAAGTTCCTTTAAGATTATCGATGTTTGCGGAGATATAATTTATTATATTATGAAGATTATTTCTGAGAATATTACTTTTTAATAACTGTTGAAACCATAACTGAGCGGAAGTTAAATTGTATGCTTTAAGGTGATAATCTTTAGTAAGGTTGCAGTGAAAGAGATAATGATCTATTGTGCCTTCATTCCCACAGGTACAGAGATTTGTATGGTGAAGTCCGAATCTATGAAGGTATTCTGGAAATGGACCATGAGCTGTTAGGAAAAATGTAATTGAACGGTTGGTAGATATTAATGATCTTGAAGGTTTTGATATGAAAGTAAAAGTTCTTCTGCCGGTAGTTGCTTCAGTCCAGGTTTGCTTCCATAAGTGCATTAATTCTGTTTCTAATTTTGTTTTTAGTAATAATATTGGATATGGAATTGAGTAATTTGGAAGGGAAGAATTGTTTGCAGCCTCTTTTGCTAGTTCGTCTGCGAGCTGGTTACCACTATTACCGATGTGTGCTTTAATCCATTTGAAATGTAGTCTATTATTGTTTTGAAATTGAGAAAGTAGAAAATGGATTTCTTGTACAATAGGCGATCGACTGTGTCCAATTATAGCTTGAATACCAGATGCACTATGAGAGAGAATTAAGGATGGTAAAGAAAGTTCTTTTGCGAAGCACATGGCTTCTTTGATTGCAAAACGTTCTGCTTGAAAAACTGAGTTGTTATTGTTTAAACAAATATTCCAGTTTTTAATATTTGAATTTTTTCGGAATGCGCAATATGCACTACCAACGCCTGCTTCAGATTTCGAACCATCAGTATATATGGTAAGTTCATATTTATTGAGTTCAAAGGTTCCCAATAGGGATTTACTTTATGGGACGGACAGTTACAACCATGTCTTCTCCGGGATTCGAACCCAGGCCCTTCGGCATCGCAGTCAGCTTCCAACCACTATACCGACTGGTCGGCGGCGTGTTAGATTTAATGAAATTAAATAATGAAGAAGCATGAATGTTTTGTTCTTGCATTGTGATAAAACAACAATACCTAGAGTCATCAAACTTTGAATACTGAACATTTCCACCCAAATATGGGCATTTGGAAGCCGAAATTTAGAATTTGTTTAATTCTCGATTTTATATTTTGTAAAACTTTAACAAATTTTTTATTAACAAACTCCACGATTTCAAAGCGAACAACGGCAAGACTGTAAGGAAAAATCATTTTTATCTCCAGAGCGCGAGACTGTGTATTGGAAATTCTAAAGCTATGCCCCGTTTAACATTATTTTGCAATATTGCTGACGAACTGAATTTTATGGTTTAAATGCGAAGAACATGATATTTAATAAGTAAAGGTAACATACAAAATGTTAAAAAAGCGCCCCTTTGGGCGTAATGTAAAATCTGAATGCTTTCAAAATTTTTTTTTTTTATATTTATTTGATTTTTTCCCTCACAATTATTATTTGAAAATAATGCTACTACTTAGTAATTTTCTTTCAAATAATAAACAAAAGCAAAAGATCAGATTTTCACTTTGAAGGTAGGCAGTTAAAAATACGACACAAATTTTGCAATCGACTTTTTTTACAACTTGCTAGAAAGAAACCTTCCTTATGGGTGATACTCGTAGGATAAAATAACACTCACTGTAAAAGTTAAATGATACTACCAGATAAAATGAATTTTAAACCATCAATTTACACTGTATTAAGACACACACTTCTTTAATAGCATATATAAGTAAAAGATATTTTTTTGCCCTTATAACAAAAAAGAGACTTTTCTTCGCGATTTTTTAACCTTTTTCCAATTTGATTCTTTATAGTGAAAGCATATAAACCGTATCCCAAATGATCTAGTTTTCGAAATATTTCTGTTAATTCCCAACAAAAATTAGTAATCGAATGGTTAATTAAGTGTAATGAAAATTGAATGAATGAATTAAACGAATCGCCTTGAATGAGAAGGAATTAATACATTCCAATCAAACAATTTTTTAATTAATTAACTAGCAAATTTATTTTATTAACTCTTGTACACAATTGTCTTTTTTAAAGTATTTTATCTGGTCTTTAAAAAATTCTGTATTAAAATGCTGCACAATTAGCTTTTCTCACACAGAATTTCCATTTGTTCGCTCTAAGCTTGATCTTTCGACCTGCGGACAGAGGCCCACTAGCGGCCGAGCGGTAAATTCGCTGAACACTGGCAGTTCGGGCGAGATTCGAATCCTCGAACAGCTGCTAATCTGTTAGCTGCATGGACGTTCTTGTGGTTTTCTACAGGTGTAGCGTGTATACGAGCCAGTTTCCCTTAGAAAGACCTCCACAAAGGCATCCCTTTCCTTAGGCAGATAGCTCTAGTGTGCTTTACCGTAATCTCAATACATCAATCAAAATCAACACCCTGCGGGAAGAAAGACTTCTGTCTGTCTTAGGTTGAAGCATAAACAGAAAACTTGCTGCTTAATATGTTGTGCGACTTTTAAAAAGTTCATACATGGACGATTAAATAATTATAATTTCTGTCTAATCACTTATTTAAGTAAATTACTAATCGAACGTAATCAACTTTTAGCTAACAGTTTATAATTTAATATTTCAAAGACCTTAGCGGGGACAAAGAGCTCTTTACGTTCAAACATAAAGAAAAGGTTTGCTTGTTACGACATGAACCTTTAAAAAGTCTAAACGTAATTTAGTTATTAATTCTACAAACCTGAAAGGAACTAGATCGAAAGAAAACGCAGCCGATTTTTGTTTTATTCAGGGAGAATTGTTAATTATTTTTATCGCTTACGAATCTTGAGATATAAAGTCAAATAATTTCTTACTTTCTCCTTCATGGCTTTACCGCTTCTATCATGTTTAGCAACATTCAGTCATATAATCTTGAAAAGTCTTCAATTCTGCCAGTTCCTTAATACAATTCATTTCAAATTGTATTTAGCTCACCAGAGGCAAAGCGGAAAAATAGGTGAAAACAGGTAGTTCGAACAGGGTTCATATCCTAGCTGCATCGCAGTTTCGTCGTTTTCTTCACATTTTTGGCTTGGTTTATTTGATTACGGCATAACATTATTTGATTACAGTAAGGGCAGTGATACTTTCCTGGAGAAATGTTAAGGAAACTGGATTACGAAAGCACTGAGGGCTATCTAAGGGAAAACTGGGAAACTGGCATACGTTACCATGTGTATGCGGGATTCGAACCTCGGACCGAACTACCAGTGTTCAGCGAAAAGGGAAACTGATTTATACCCAAGTTACGTATGGGAAAAACGACTAAAACGCCGATGCAGCCAGCCCGTTCGCCCAAAATTGAGTCCAGGTCAAACTACCAGCGTTCAGCGACTTTACTGCTGGGCTGCTAGTTGGCCCGTTTTTCTCACGTATAAAGTGACCGGGAGCCAGGAAAGGGGTATTGTCGTAACTGGCGATGTAGCGAATTTTGGTACTTAGTTATTACTTTTGTAACAGACAGCGCCACCTCTTTTTCCAGTCATTTCATCACACAGTTGGATGTGCCGTCCGCCAATGAAACAGCCAATTAAAAATATTCAGAACTACCTTTCAAATTTGCATGATCAGATTTATTCTTATTAAATAATATATATATATATATATATATATATCTGTTTTGCAAAATATTTATTTCTTGTGCTGTGCTTTATATTACAGAAAATTTTCAGTGTGCGAATACAAGAGTGAATTTTTTTTTTTAAAATTAAATTAGCTAGTTTAAGCATTTCAATCAATTAATCGATATTAATATAGCTGAAAAGTGAGCTCCTTAAGCATTTCAATGAATTATTTGGTATTAATATAACTGAAAGTGAGCTCCTAAATGTGATGGATATAGATAATATCAAGAACTTTACGCATATAGTGAATGAAACACACCCAATTTTGTACTGCTATATTTACTTGTCAAAATCTATTTCAAACGATTTGTTGTAAGCACAGCATTAAAAAGTCTGATATGTAGACCACGACTTCCCTTGCGCGGAATATTAAATTATACGCACATTTTTTTTCTGCATTTCATTGAAACTTATTTCCTCTCTCATTAGAGATAGTTTTCTCTTTCAATTAATTCAATTCTCACTTTGCGACAAGACAAAAATACATAAAACCTCAAAATAGCTTTATTAAAAATTGCAAAAATATAGAGAAGCTTAAAACACCTATTACAATTAAAATTATTGTTTCTACGCAAAAACAAGCAGTTAAGCCAGCGAGCAAGAAGGCAGATTTTTCGGTGCACAAAACTGAGTTTACTTTGGATCCCACTCGGCAAAAAGACACTAAAGGTGCAGAAACTGACTTAATTCACTATTTCGCTAAGTTTCAAATGCAAACAAATATGGCAGCTATAGTAAAAAAAAATTAGGCTTAGCCGCACTTAAAAAACTTTTAAATAGCTAATAATTCTACAACTATTGCATGCAGATTAACTAAAGGCATAAGAACTTTAACTGGGAGATAAGAACAACATAATTCAATCATTTTTAAAGCAAAACATGCACAATTTACCAATATATAAAAATTAATTTTAAAAAAAACTGAGCTCACGCAGCTGAGTTACAAAGTGGGTATATTTGCTTATTTATACACTTTTGGTGCAGCCGAATCCAACCAAAAAGGTAGGTGCACAACTACATGTTATATCATATACAAAATTTCAACGTTTTGAGTCTACTCGTTTTTGATTTATGCGAGCTACATACTTACATACGTACATCTAGACATCACAAAAAAATCTGTCCTGACTCCTTTTTTAATTCTTTTTGTGTGGTGTCTCTCTTCATGAGTCATAAATTCAAAGATCGTTCGTTTCAGGAGTCAAGGTTGGGAGAACATTAGAATTTCAAATCAAAATTTCAAGAGTTCACGGAACATAGAAATAACATTTATTAACGATAAACTTATATTAATTCCGCTTATAGCGGCCATGAAACATAATCAAGCATCAAATAAATATGACATGCGTCATTCTTCATGTTCAAGCGTCAAGTGCAATATTTTTCATCGGCGCGCATCAAGAGCGCCACCTATCTACCAAAAAGACGGAACATACTCCGCCCCGATGAACATTGGTTCATTACAACATTATTATAAAAATCTTCAATTTTAGATTCAAACAAGTTTTCCAAAGTTCAACAGTATATCATATAAAATAAAAATGCATAATGACAAATTTAAATTGAATAACAACATTAAATTTAGCACAAAATTTTACAAATAAAACATACTTACAATCTCTAGAAGGAAAACAAAATAATGAAACTGCTAAATTACCATAATCCACAATTGTGGTTCATTCTCTGAATCTGAAACATAATTGAATTAATAATAATAATAAAGACACAAATTATGAATATACAATTAATGTTTTTTTTTTTTTTTTAGTCTTATTCACTCAATGGTAAGCGGGAAAGTTTATGTATAGGACGCTTCATTTCGCCCAATAAAGTTTTTAGTTTCACAACACGAACTTTTCCATCAGCACCAGGATATAGTTCAATTACTCGTCCAAGTCGCCACTTTAATGGAGGCAAATTTTCGTCCTTTATCAAGACTAAGTCATTGAGGGCTAAATTTGGTTTATCCCTCAACCATTTGGTACGCCCTTGTAATTGTGAAAGATAATCTCTAGACCAACGTTTCCA